ATAATAATAATAATAATAATAATAATAATAATAATAATAATAATAATAATAATAATAATAATAATAATAATAATACATTCATATCACCATGATATAGACTAGCGTGTAGACATATATACGTAATAAAGTCGAAAATCAATTACCTCAATATAATAAAATGTTTTAAATAGGTTGTGACTAATTATGACAATGTGTTTGCACCTCTATTATCCTCTAATATAGACCAGGCATCGTTATCAGCCCATAAATAATTTATTGCGGCCGCTGTAGAATATTCATTCGCATCGAGATTCGCAATTTTGATTAAATTAAGATCCCACGGCCAGGAATCTGTTGAGAGAACGTTTCCATTTAGCCTTTTCCAGGCCGCAAAATGGTACATCCATTCCAAAGGCCATATATTAGGTTCAGTTGAAAGTTGTAAAGCAGTTTTTACAGAAATTTTGCGTTTTTCTAACTCTTTTTCAATAAACTCCCTTTCTATTTTTGCCCATAAATCGTTGCTTGTTAATAGCTTTAACCAGATCTTTCCTAATCTAGCATCCAGCATATCTTCAATTCTCATGAAGTCTAGGTCATTTGATTCAGGAGGGAGTTTATCCTTAATCCATTTTATTATTAAATCATTTAATGCAGAAAATTGGTTAGACGTTGGTGGTAAAAGATAAGCGTTATACCAAATTTTACATAAAAGATAAGATTTTGCGATACGTGTAAGACGCATCTTATCTTCAGAAGAGAATTCATGCTGATCTATTATTTTCATAGTTTCTTTAATATTTTCAGCCACGTCTTCCCAAAAATTTTCTTTTAATTGCCCCTTTCTATCAATAGTAAAACCTAAATATTTAATAGGATCATTTTTCGCAAGTATTTTATAAGCTTGATCACCTGGCAGTTTTGTATTCATTGCTTCAACTGTTAGTGGAACAAGTACAGATTTTTTTTTATTTACTTCCGCATTTGAAGCTTTTTCATATTTTGTTAATAATGAATGCAAAATGTCCCAGTCATTCTTACATCCTACCCCAATAGTTAAATCATCAGCGAAAACTGATATCTTAAATCTAAAATCATTTATCGCCAACCCATTTAGATTTTTTATCAATAATTTTAAAAAAGGTTCAAATGCTAGGATGTACAATAACGGAGAGATTGGATCACCCTGTCTGACACCCCTTCCTATTTTAAAGGAAGCAGAGAGGGCACCAGAATCATTAATCTGTGCAGATTGATTTGAAAAAAGGTTTTTTAATAAATTTATAAAAATTTCACTAAATCCCATTTTTTCAAGAGTTAATAAAAGGAATGAGTGATTTACTCGATCAAAGGCCTTTTTTTGATCAATAAATAGTAACCAGGCCTCCTTTGATGGATTTTCTTGCCTTTGTATTCCTCTCATAGTTGAAATTACATTTAGAGCGGCATCGTAGGTTGATCTACCGGCTATATAGCCATATTGATGACGCCCTATTAAGTATGTGCATATCTCATTCAGTCTACTAGCCAATAATTTTGTAAAAATTTTGGCATCACAATTTAATAGGTATATCGGCCTCCAATTAGAGACATCAGTTAAGTCATCGGATTTTTTTGGAAGTAGAATTATGACACTTTTAAACCATGAAGGGGGAAATTCACCGGTTTTTAAAATAAAGTTAAAAATTATGTTCAAAATAGGAACCAATTTTTCTTGAAATTGTTTATAAAATTCAAATGGCAAACCATCAATTCCTGGGCCTTTTTGATTATCGAGTTTAGAAATTATTTTAATAATTTCTTCATCAGTAAAATCTTTTGTTAAAGAATTGTTCTGTTCTACAGTTACATTTTGCAGTCCATCAGTTATTTCGTTTGCAATATCTGAGTCAATAACATCATTTTTAAAAAGTTCTTGATAAAAATTTCTTAGGTAAGTTAAAATTTCTTTAGGGTCTTCAGAGGTGGGTGTCGATGGATTCCGAATTGTTGAAGTTGCTCTTTTATCAGAATCAGCCCACCCTGCTTTAATTAAATCTTCTCGTAGTTCTTGATCTAAATAAGAAAGATCCTTCTTGTTATCTAAAGAGTTTAAATTGAAAATTGAAAATTTTCTTTGTCTTTGATTCTGAAATATATATTGAAAATGCTTTTTAAGAATATCCCATTCTAAAACCGTGTTCACACTATCTATTTTATCTGCGATCATTCTCTGAGTTTCAGAGTCTTCAAGCAATTCTTTATCTAGTCTCCAGATGAATCGATCGAGAGTGCATACCACCAACGGTTTTTTATGTTTGTGGGAAGTAAATGTTTCTACATTATAGCAGAATAGAGTATAATTATTATCTATAAAGATACAATTTCTTGGCACTCCCTGAATATCCAGAATATCTTGAATAAACGATTCACCCAATATATCCATAATATCTGTAAAACCTGAGAATCTTTCACTATATAATGTGCTTAAGTTTATATTAAGCTCGCCAACTATTACATTGACAGTATTATCTTTTATGTATATTCCATATGGAATCCACTCAAGAAAAGTTAGTTCATCAGTGTCAAGAGGGACGTATATATTTGTTATTTGATAATACCTGTCCCAGTATATTACACTAGTGGTAATTCCGTATTCAATTTCTTCGAAATCTTCAAATTTGACATCATCATTTCCAGTTAAAATCGCTGTTGTTGATGACCAATGGGAAGCATAATCCCATAGGGACTCTGCAGCGTAATCTCTATCCTGCTTGGATAAACTTAATCCCTGTAAATTAATTACATCTAATTTTCCATCTAATTTAAGCCGCTTGAGTAGTTGTAAGGTTTCCTTACATGTTTTTTTGTCATTGAGTCCTTCAACGTTCAGTGTTGCGATCTTAATATTTCTTTTTGTCATGGGTTTAATTTTTTAACTTTTTTATTAACTATTTAGTCGCCTTTAAAAGTTTTACAACTAATTTATACTACCGGAAATACTTCAATTATATATTGGTATTATAGCTCAATACAGTAAAACCTACAGATCGGCCGGTTAAACTAAACCTAAAACAATGAACTATGGTTACTATTGTACAATATGATACTTTTTTATTCGAATAAAAAAAGGTCATCCTTTGCAATAATAAACTTTTTAAGAAAAGCCATATAAAAACAATACATATATAAATTAAAATGAATTAATATAATATAAAGGTAAAATCTGATAACTTTATTATTGAATATTAAAATGTTAGACGTAGGGATGGAACACTGCGCATGCTACGCAGCCTGCGCGGTATTTTTGGGAGGCTGCGTAGTACAGTTCGGAAAAAAATACCCGTTAGATTTTTGTGAAATCAAACGGGCTTTTTTCTCCGGACCCTACTACGCAATGTAATTTTTATTATAATGCAGACTTGAATTAGTCAATCGGAAAATATAAATTTGATAAAACACAAAAACACGTCTAGGGTTGTAATTTTACGTAATCTTGTGTAAGTTTCGATAAAGTAGTTTTCATATAATTTGTAAGAAATGTGACCATACTATCATATAATTTCATGTGATTGGTTGGATCATATGTCATCGATTTTGATAAGTAAACTTTTTTGCAAAGTCTAATGTAGTCGATAATGCTAGCAAAGTTTTTCATAATGCTGGTATTTAACTTATGCAAATTACATGAAATGTAATGTAGGATTGTAAAATGTAATTTTCAACCCTAAACACGGTGGATTTGATCACCTGATCAATAGAACTTATCGTTCATAATTCTGGTCAAAATTGCAGGTCATCTGACCACATTTAAAGTTGCTTTATTCTTAATCTGGCCAAATAATGTGCAAACTTGACCAGAATTATCAATGATGGGTTTCTCTCTTTGCCAACTGACGCAAATTCAACTCATAGGAGGATCATCATCGGAATCTTGGTCGGATATTGTAACCGTTGTTGGGAGAGCTTATGAAAATAATATGAATAGAAGGCCAATTTAACTCCAACGGTGTACGGGGAG